ACACTATGCTTGGAATATTAAATATTCCAGAAAAGCACTCATGTTAAAGGTTGGGTTTCCAGCCTGGTGTTCTACTGGGAGGTACTGGACCCTATAGGGGCTCTAATGTAAGGAAACTAGGACATTGGAATATGGACTTGGAGAGGAAATCTGTCCCTGCCTTTTCATCTTTTATCACATCCTGCCTGCCATGAAGTGAACAGACCTTCCCCATGTGTTCCTATCATGATGTGCTGTGTCACCACAGGCCCAGAGACCAGACAAGCAATCACATACTGAAACTATAAACCAAAGAAAGCCTTTCTTTAAGTTGTTTAGGTATTTCTTTCAGTGAAGGAGAGCTGATTTACACACACTGCTAAATTTAGTCTTACGACATATCACATTAAAGATATTTGTAAGAACAAGAACTGAGCACAGGTTCTAATAGTTGAAACTTTTGTTATAGCTGCTACTTGAGTGTGCTCTAACCTATTATTTCCAGTATAGCAATTTGTTTTTGTCTTTAAACTTATCTTACATTTATATCTGGTGATCTGAACAACTAATTTGAAGATAGCATCATGTAATATAACAACCATTGTTGAATTCCTATTACTTTGCTTAGTGAAATCTTGTATCATTTCTAATGCTATTTTTTAAATTCTCTCATTATTTTGTATTCTTTAGAAATTAAAAACAGTATAAAAAAGAATTCAAAATAACAAGGAATGTGGGTGGGAAACGAGGAAAAGATTTTTTAAAGAGAGCATGTAAGATTCTCTGAGGGAGAGGAGGTTACAATAAAGAGAAAACTGAATGGAGTGGTACTGCCAGCCACATGAAGATCTGGAGATGATCTACTCCTGTAAAAATGACCTGGAAAGTTCAAAAAGAGGAAGTGGGCTTCATAGGTAGGAGAAATAAATAGTGAAATGTGTCTAGAATGTAAGAAATAGAAAGTAGGCAGGCGTTAAGCCACAAAGGTTTATAAGCCATAGGAAGGAATTTGGATTTTATTTATAGTATATTGGAAATCCATCAGCACAGATACATTTAAATGAAGAACATAGATCAAGAGAGGCAAGTTATGCTGCTATAACAGAACATCTTAGGGGCTTAAAATAATACTGGATTTTCTCATGATTCTACTGAAAGTTAGTCATGGATTACTGAGGATTTTGTTTTCTGTGTGGAGCATTTCATTTTATTTTATTTTATTTTCTATGCATTTGGTACAAGTCTCACTATGCAGCTCAGACTTGTAGCGATGCTCCAGTTTTCAGCTTTCCTAGTGTTGGGATTACAGGTATGCACCACCACACCGTGTCTCAGTGGCCAGATCAGTGTGCCCAGATGCAGGGGCCACATGACATATGGTGCCAGGGATCAAACCCGGCCTCTGCACTTGCCTCAGCAAGCACTTAGTCCACTAAGCGATTTTGTCAGCCCTTTGAACATTTTTACCTAAAGTGAAAAATCCATATTTATGGGACTATCATGGTATAAATGATGCAAGTTATGTATAAGTAGAAAAATATACATTCTGGAGGGCCTTGAATCAGCAATTGAATGGTGCTGCCTTAGTATTCAAGTCATTTTATACATACAGCCCATTTTCCATTCCAGTCACAAGATTTCACCCATTATAAGAAGGTAAATGAACCACGCAATGTATCCAGAGGGTCAGGGCATTGTGTTTATTAGGAGCACATGATATGATTCATATTGATGAAATATCATCTTGCTTATTCTGCTGGGACTATAATATGAAGGTTAGAGTGGAAACTGGGACGTTAATGAAGAAGCTATTTTATTTTATTTTTATGTATTTAGTACAGGGTCTCACTACAAAGATCAGACTTGTAGTCATCCTTTCTGTTTTTCAGCCTCCCAAGAGTTGGGATTACAGGCACAAGCCACCATGGCCAGTCTTATTTGCTGTCTCAGCGTGCCTCAAGGGTGGGCTGGGCATGGCAGGCATGGGATCAAACACCCTGACCCCTGCATCTCCCTAAGCAGGCCCTTTAATCCACTGAGCTATCAGTCTGGTCCTGAAGAGGCTATTTTAGCTATTTTAGACAACTGTGAGACATCATTTTGGTATGGAGGCTGCAGAGACTGAAAAGGATATCTCATTTTAAAGTATAGCAGATACAATTTGGTGATGGGTTGAGAAAAAGAAAAAATATTTCCAAAAATAACTTCTATGTTTTGACAGAATATTAGTGACAAGAGTTGTGTTAGAAAGGATGGTGAAAAATAAGGGGCTTGCTTTTTTTTAATTTTTAAAAAATTTTATTGAGAAAAAATTGCAATGTGACAGTTTCAATACAGGTTGGTAGGAGAGTTACAACACTTAATACATTGCATATGGTTGTCTTTGTAATAATCATTCATAGCACAAGATGCAGACATGATATCCTGCCCAAACGCTATTAGTACAGATCTTTCTTCTTATTGAATTAGGAGAAAGTAGCTATATATCTATCCTAACTACTTTGCATATACAGATACAAAATGCTCCTTAACATATATCTCCTTTTTTTGTTGTTTTGTCAGAGATGAGGAATCCATTGTCATCCAATATTGTAGGTGCATGAATTCAGCAAAATATTCCAAGATAGTCCAGTAGTCCACAATAGTAGTGGGTTATCCATAGGACTGACAATGTCTGAATCTGATGACTTGAGCCTTCCACAGCTCAGCATACTAACATGGCTTCACTTTTCATGCCTCATTTCTACATTTCTGTGTTGAATGGTTAAGATCAAGATAAAGCAAGACCTATATAATAAAAAATATAACTTTTGTATCTGACATGGTCAGTCAAGTCCACTCAGGACTTATCCCGAAACCCTGTACCGCACTTTGTAGATCCTTTGTCAGTGTCAGCCATGTGGATGAGTCACGGCCATTGCTTGACCAATTTGCTCTCTGAGAAAGCCTGAGAGAATGTTTTCTCTCCGTGTCACTCTCTTTAGGCACACACTACATCACTGATCACATTCCTCTGTGGCCCCATAATTTCCTTGATCAGAAAATTTGGGGCACAACTGAGTAACATGATGTTACAGTACAGGTTCTTCTATGTCCTGAGTTCTCACTGAACTTGAAAGGCTAGGGCCAAAATGTTGGATGTCCTTGCAGCCCTTCTTTTTCTCTAATTTTTGGTCTGCACACTTAGGTTGTTCATCTTCCAGAAGAGAAGCTTATTATTGCCCTACAACATATGCAGGTGGGTTTAACCTCACTATGTCTGAATATCAAACATCTTAGGCATAAGATGGAACATCTTTAAAAAAACATTTACTTGAGATACAATCTAGCCATAATTGGTATGTCATGACAAGCAGTATGTATTTAGAGACTAGAATGACAGGCATTCCAAGCATGATCCCACTATTACACATTGCTAACTTCAGTGCAGTCTCTTAGTTCACATGTATCAGCATATATAGTCAGTCAGGGTGAGAATCCCACCCATTAACTGCTAGATTCAGCAACCTGCTGATAGTTCTCAGAAACATTGCCTTACCCATCTTGTATGTATAAATGTATGACTTAGCCCCTGTTATGTTTCCTAGCTTTTCTCCTTGCCCTTTTTTCATTACCTAATTCTCAAGTTCTCACTTTCCTTTTAATTGTGTTATACCTTTCTATTTGTATTCCTTCTTTTGAGTTCTTATATTAGGAAGACTATATGATATTTACAAATATGGCTCTAGTTATTTCATTTATGAGTATATCTCCAAGTGGCATCCACTTCAATATGAAGGCTTCAAGTTTATAATTTTTTTCAGCTGAGTAATACTCCATTGTATAAAAATACCACATCTTTTTCATCCATTCTTCAGATGACAGACATGTTTGTTGTTTCCAAGATTTGGCTATCATAAATTGTGCTGCTATAAAAATAGGTACACTATGATATGACGTTTTCAGTTCCTCTGGGAAAATTCCCAGTCGGGAGATAGCTCCTTTGAATGGGATTTCCAGTCCTAGTTTCTTAGGGCGTCTCCACACTGATTTCCATAATGATTGCACCAGTCTACATTCCTACCAGCAGTGGAGAAGGGTTACTTTTTCCTCACAACCTTTCCAACATTTGTTATTAGCTGATTTGTTTATGATAGCCATTCTTTCTGGGATGAGATGGTATCTCGGTGTTGTTTTAATTTGCATTTCACGAACAACTAGTGATGTGGAGCATTTTTTCATATATTTATTCACTTCTTTAATTTCATCCTCTGAGAAGTGTGTGTTCATCTTGGACTCCTATTTTTGAACTGGGTCTTTAAATTTTGGAGTGCTAATGTTTTTTAGTTCTTTATATATTCTAGAAAGCAGACCTTTGTCTGAGTGCTTATTTGTCAAGAATTTTACCATATTTGCGGGTTGTCTTTGGACTTCATTCATAACATCTTTTGATGTGCAAACACTTCTCAATAAGAGGTGGTTCCAGTTGTTAATTCTTTCAACTGTTACCCATACGATTTGATTTTTGTTCATGAACACTTTGCCTACCCCTATATCTTCAAGTGTTCCTCCTACTTTCTCTTCCAGGAGATTTAGTGTCTCTGTTTTAATGTTTAAATCTTTAATCTACTTTGACTTTAGCTTAGTGCATGGTGATAGACCTGGGTCAAGTTTTAGTTTGTGGTATATAGGGGCCCAGTTTTTTCAGCACCATTTGTTAAAGAGGCTATCTTTATTCCAGTAAGCATGTTTGGCCACTTTGTCGAAGATCAGATGACTGTGTGTGTTTCTAGAGGTTTCTGCATCTCCTAATCTATTCCATTGATCCTCAGGTCTTTTTTGTTGCCAGTACCATGCTGATTTTATCACAAGAGCTTTGTAGTATAATTTCAAGTCAGGAACAGTAATGCCTCCTGCCTTGTCTTTGTTGGCCAGGATTGCCTTTGCTATTCTAGGTCTTTTCTGGTTCCAAATAAATTTCAGGAAGGATTTCTCTAGGTCTGGGAGGTATGTTGTGGGTAGTTTGATAGGGATTGCATTAAAAAAATATGGACTGTTTCACAAATTTGCATGTCATACTTGTACAGGGGCCATCCTAATCTCTGTATAGTTCCAATTTTAGTACATGTGCTGCTTAAGTGAGCACTATTTGTTTATTTATTTATAGACAGGATACGCTAATGTTCTATGTCTAGGTTTACCAGAAACTTCTCAGGGGTAAAAGTTGAAAAGTCCCCATGTTAAAGATGGCATATGAGTTCTTGAAATTGTCACACCACTATCTATGAAGTGAGTTATATAGAGAGGTGAAGAGGGTAATGGGCTGAACTATGGGGCCCTCCAAATATTAGAGCTGAGGATTTAGAGAAACTACATATGAGGCCGAAGAAACAATGATGTGAGCAGAAAACAAAGAGACCATGCAGGTGTCAGAAGGTAAGTTAAGAAACATTTTGTAAGAAAAGCATAAATGGTCATATGTAAAACTCTGCAAAGAGATAAAGATAGAAAATGAGGGGCCAGGGAGATGGCTCAGTAGAATAAGTGCTTGCCTGGCAAGTGCAAGGGCCTGAGTTCAATTCCTGGTTCCACCAAAAAAAGAAGAAATAAAGAAAATGAATCCTTTGGGTTTGGCAGAATGGATGTCAACAGCAACTTCACAAGCTTGTGTGAAGGGTTCAGAGAACATGTGGCACAGGTGTGTTGACTGATACTAGGTAAGAGATGTGAAGAATTTATTCATTAAAAAACAGATCAATGAGATATGGACAAGGTAACGTGGGCAAGGATATGTTTCTTATCATTTGTTAGTATTGGAAATTAACAATGCATTTGTATAATGATGGGACACTGGTGATAGAGGGAAGATGTAAAGTAACAACAGGAGAGTGTTGAGAATTAGGACCCACTTAGAAAAGATGACTTGTTAATTCCGTCAGTAGGAATAAACTACACCCTTTAGGGTAAAAAGTCCCAGCTCTGAGAAAAAGATAAGAGTATAGGTAAACATTCTGAGACACAATTTCAAACAACCCTGACTTGTCTAAAGCTTGAGTCTGTTATCATATATTGTAACTTAGATCGAGGGGTCCAGTCTGCTTTAGCAACCCCGTAGTCACACCAAATGTGTACTAGTTTCCTAATAAGATTCTTGTAATATTTTCCTGCCTATTTCAAATTAAATACTCCCAAGAATTTCCTTCAGTTATAAAACAAATAAATATGTCCTAATTAGTATGCATAATTATGCATATTATAGCATGAGGATGATCAGCTTGCCTCTTGGAAATTCATGATTACCATATTTTAATAGTGCTCTCCCAGGGTTTTTATGCAGCCCCAGATTTCAGGCTTCTTTCTTTCCTTCCTCATAGCTACCATTCTTGAGAAACATGTCTATACTCTTTTAGCTTTTGACTTCCCACCCTTCCATTGTATGGTATTACACTTCACCATTAAAAAATATGATTTCAACCACCACATTCCAATAATGGTTGCATTTTTCAGCTAAGACTGCCACAACCAATATCACAGACTGTATGCTTCAAACAGAAGAAATCTCTTTGTCAGTGTTCTGGAGGCTGGAAGCTCAAGATAAAATGGTCTAGTTTCTTTTAAGACCTCTCTCCTGGGTGTATAGATAACTATGTGTTTACTGTGTCTATAGTCTGTCCTTTCTTAGCAGGCATCCCATGTTTCTCTTATTAAAAGGGGCAGTCTTCTTGGGTCCCACACTTAAGACATTATTTCACCTTAATTACAATTTTAAAAGTGCCATTTCCAAATACAATTATAGTGGGGCATTGGATGATGATCATTAAATTTGGGAAAAAAGGATGTATTTGTCCATGTAACCATCTTGCTTACAAATTTCATGGCAATGATTCAGTCTTTAATTCAATTTGTATTTTGACAGTGTCCTTAGAGAAATTCACTTAAATACACCCCCAATTTCCTTCCTGGCTCTGTTTATGTCACTGGCACATTTCTACTCAGATTTATCCACATTTTTTCCTCTCACACCTTCCTTAGTTTTTCATCTCTAGAATCAGCCTTGGGCCTGTTTTGATCTTATTCTGATTTCCCTAAGGGGTATAAATCAAGGCATACTTTCTGGCACGATCTGCTTCATACTGATATATGCATAACTCTAGTCAAGACCCTCTCTAGGATCTTAGAATCACATGACTCCCTTTGTACTGGGCATTATGGACACAGTAAATTTACAATATGTATTTGTTGAATTCATTTCCTCATTTAGAAAACTTCCATGATCATCTACTGGACAGTAAGTGCTCTTCTAGGTAGTTATAACATATTAGTGAACAAAAGAGAGCAAAAATACTGTTTTCAAGGAATATTTCCCCAAACCATGGCAAAAAAGTTGTCAATAAATATACAGAACAAGTTAAGTACTTGTATATGCTAGGGGTGTAAAGTGTTGTGATTAAATAAAGGAATGTCAGGGACTGGTCAGGAAGTCAACTTGAAAGGTTAAGTTAGCCGGCTGGGTGGACCTCAATCAAAAGAGGAAATACAAAGTTTTAAAGAAGGCGAGTGGCCTTCTTTATATATAGCTCAGTGACACAGCACCTGCCTAGCAAATGCAAAGTTCTCAGTTCGATTACCTGTACCAAAAAAAAAAAAAAAAGACAGAAAGAAAAAATGAATGAATAAATATAATTGTAACAGAGTCATCTCAAATGTAATAATTCCAAAACCTCCATTCACCTTATTTCATATAATTTCTGACATAATTGCTGTTCTTGCTTTTGCTAGTGACCATATACGCTGGTCTCCCAAAATAGGACACGGATCAGACTACCAGTATAATCTACCTATAAATCTGTCTGGAACCAGACAAATTTGAATATCTGAATGTATGGATGATTAGCTGTAACCCAAGGCAGAAAACTGTTAGTCACTACTCTTGCTGTCTCCTATTCATTCACTCATATTTTTTATATTTTCCCACTAGATCGCCAAGTTATTCTGATATTACCCCAGGCTATCTCTTCTTTATTTGTACTGTTGTTTCTTATTTCAGGTTCTCTGGATCACTCACTACATTGCACCTGTCTGTGATGCTTTAGATCTAAAATTCCCTTCCCCAGGACTCTCATATTTGGAGATGCGGTCTGGTCAGAGGGGCATGACTCCCTCTGGGAATGACCTGGAAGTATATATTCTTGTCCCCAGCTCCTTTCTCTCTTTCTCTGATTTCTAGCTAACTAGGGTATGCAGGTATTCTTCTCCATGCCTTGCACCATTATCCTCCTGCCTTGGAGTCAGCAAACCCCTGGAAACTGTGAGCTAAATAAGCCTTTTCTCATTTAAGCTATGGGTGTCAAGTATTTTGTCCCGGCAGGGGGAAAGCTATCTAATGCTTAGCATAGCTAAATGTTCATGTGTTGATATTTAATTTTCAAATAAATGTGTTAACACTATTTAACTGTGTGGCCTTTTGGAGATAACTAGGACTAATTGAAATGATAAGGGTGTGACCTCAAGATAGCATTTGTGGGTTAGAAGAGGTGGCAGAGCCTAGCATGCTTTCTCCAACTCACTATGAGGTGCCCCCCTCTGCCATCTTGTGGTGCATGTTGGCATCATGTTTTTGGACTTCCCAACCATTAAAACCACAAATGAAGAAAAACATTTCCTTCATAAACTGTACAGTTATTTATAAACAAATTAAGATACCCACAGTGTTAGGGAACATACTGAGATCGACAAATAGACTCTAAAATATCCACACTGTCTGCTGGCATATCTCAGTTCCCTCCCCTACATCTCAGAGTTTTCTTGGACACTCAGATCTAATCCTGACTGTCTCACTTAAAATCTTCAGATGAGAGAAGGAAGGGAATGCCTTAAATTAAACAGCACATTTGGTGGCTGAAAAGGGTGGCTTTGCTGGTCCAAGCTACACCCTGTGCCACCTGTCACCTACTCCAAGGCTGTGGAGCCAGTCTTGCCTGTGGCTCCTGCTGCAATCAGGTCATGCTGAGTACCTTCCCTGAAAAGTACGAACACAGAAGGAAGCAGTTAGTTTCTCTTTTAAATCCATGGTTTCTGCAATTTCTAGTCTAAAACTCAGTGCCTCAAAGATTAAATGCCCATTATTGTCCTAAAATGTGGGAAATTAAAAATATATCAGATCTTTCTATATTTCCTATTTCAGCCCAAATGAATCCAATTAGATTTCACTGCAAACTATAAAGCACTCTAGGCCTATTTCCTCTTTAAATTGATTATAAATGTTGATGCTTTTAAGTATAAGTGCAAATTAATCTGGGGAATTCCATGAAATTTTATTTCTTAATTAAGCAATTTAAACTAAATTAGTTAGCTGAAATGACTACTCTGGCTCCTAAGATTGTTCAAGGTCAGACAAATGTAATCAAATGTAACATACAGATTTTTCACTTGCCATAAACCTTTTCATCAAACTCATTTCACTATTTTGAACTTGATAGGAGAGATTTCACTCTTGGGCTATGTAAATCTCTAGAGACCAGGATCAAGATTATAGGAAGCAAGACAAGGTGACAATACTTAGGTCAACTGGAAGAGTTTGGAAAATAGAAACGCGGTCTTTATTAAACTGAGAAGGAAGCTCAGGGCTTAGACTGCCCAGAAATTAAACTTTCTTCTTGTATACAACTGGCATTGCTCCAGTGAACACAATCCATTTGGCCAGCCAGATGGACCAGCTCTGGCAGCCTTTCAGTCTCCTGCACAAAGCTCTCAGCCTGGAGAAGAGAAAAATCCCCCAAACAAAAATATAAATAGAGAAGATTCAGTATTGTGCCTAAACAATTGGGAAGCCTCGCAGTCTTACAAATGAGGCTCCCGCAACACTGTCTGTGCGCGGCAGACATTCCAACTGTTTCTTTCTTCTTCATTTTTAATAGCTTATTTATCATGGATGAAGGATGAGATTGCTTATCTGAGGCTCCATGCTTTTGGCAGAAACCCTTTATAGTGCTCGGCTTCTGTCTCCTGCAGGAAAGGAGGCAATTTCTAATTTTTTTTTCCTGAGAAAAGATAGTAAGTAATACCAACAAAGTACATTGATAAGAATCTAAACTGCATAAGTTCATTTGAAAAAGCAAACTTCTACATTGTCAGCTATCAAGAAGA